GACGCGGCGACCCAGCGACCAGCTGAGATCATTGCCCTCCGCTCCAAGGCGGCACTTGACGACCTGATGGCCAAGTGCGCGCTGGACCTGCAGCAGGCATATCTGGCCTCACGCGAGTGGGGCGTTAGCACTGTCTTGACCATGCGGGGTCGGGACAAGTTGCGTCGCTTGAGCGACACGACCTTTGCCATTGCGGTTGTGTCCATGATGGGTTTTGGCCTCCATGAACTCATCAACGTCAAGCCGACGGACAAGTGCCCGCTCTGCAGCAGCAAGACACCTCAGCCGCGACTAACCCGCGAGCACCTGCTGACCTGTCGTCCCATCAAGCGTCACAACGCCCTTCGCGACGAGATGGGCCGCCTGCTCAGGTACGCCACCCTCTCCCATGTCTGGGTGGAAAAGTCTGGCTACAACGCCAACGGTCAGAGCTGCCGCATCGACCTGCACTGCCGCAACCCTTTTCCCGGCGGTGCTCTGGGCCCAGCTCTGCCCGACCTGGGCATTGACGTGACTGTGCGCACAGCCCAACCCCCGACCACCTCGCAAGCCTGCATCAAGGTGGGCGCTGCCCTTCGCCGAGCCGAAAAGGAGAAGCGCGACTACTACACCGGTTTCAATCATGGAAAAACTCTGATCGTCCCTGCGGCGATGACGACAACCGGTGGGTTCGCCTCCTCCTTTGTGGATCTGCTTGGTCAGCTCGCCCGCTGCGCCGAGGCCCGTGGTGTGTACCAGCCGGGGCTGGATGAGGCCTTTGTTCCTCGGTGGAAGGGTCGCTTTGCGGCGCTGGTCCATCAGATGAACGCTGACCACATCCAGCGCCACTTTGGCGGTGTCTGCCTGCGCTCGTCGTAGGTAGGCACCGTCCCGGAAGTCCCTCTGTGGGGATCCCTGTGTGCACCCGTCACTCCCTTGGTGGTTCTCGTTGTGTCTGTTGATGGCTTGACTTGTAGTTTTCTTGTAATTTTGCTTTAATTTTTGCTGTATTTGTGTGGTATTTTTGCTGAATTTTTGTAAAGTCCTTTGTATGATGCCTTTGTCTTCTGTGGTCGGTTGTTTTCTCAATCCGACGTTGTGTCTCGTTGGATGTGAGCGTGCCGCGGTGTTCATTGTGTTTGTGCTGTGATGGCTTGTAGTTGTGATGTGTGACTGCCCTTTTGGGTGTCTTGTGTTTGATCTCTGGTTATACTTGGTCGTTTTGTACGATTTTTGTTTCTATGTGCAGGATTCTTCGCGCTTGTACTTCTTGGCATGATAAAAGCCAGTGAATGTAACTTGTTCTCTTGTGTTGTTTTGCGTGACGTAGTGATTTTGATGTCGGGGTTGCACAGCTTTGCTGAGGTTCAAACACCTAATTTATTTATTAGGGTCTGATCTGCTCGGACCTGCCTCGTCATCCTCTGCACAGTCATGAGCCTGGTCATCCAGGGTCTGATCTACTCGGACCTGCCTCGTCACGATCTGCACGGGCAGGAGCCTGGTCATCCAGGGTCTGATCTGCTCAGACCTGCCTCGACACGATCTGCACGGTCATGAGCCTGGTCATCCAGGGTCTGATCTGCTCGGACCTGCCTCGTCATCCTCTGCACAGTCATGAGCCTGGTCATACAGGGTCTGATCTGCATGGACTCGGCTCGTCACGATCTGCACGGTCATGAGCCTAGTCATCCAGGGTCTGATCTGCTCAGACCCGCCTCGTCATCCTCTGCACAGTCATGAGCCTGGTCATCCAGGGTCTGATCTGCTCGGACCTGCCTCGTCACGATCTGCACGGGCAGGAGCCTGGTCATCCAGGGTCTGATCTGCTCAGACCTGCCTCGACACGATCTGCACGGTCATGAGCCTGGTCATCCAGGGTCTGATCTGCATGGACTCGGCTCGTCACGATCTGCACGGTCACGAGCCTGGTCATCCAGCACTTGATCTTCCCTTCCTTGCCTCGACACGATCTGCACCGTCATGAGCCTGGTCATCCAGGGTCTGATCTTCACGGGCCTGCCTCGACACGATCTGCACGGTCATGAGCCTGGTAATCCAGGGTCTGATCTGCTCGGACCTGCCTCGTCATCCTTTGAGGCGGTCTTGAAACAGCCAGGGTCTGATCTGCTCGGACCTGCCTCGTCATCCTCTGCACAGTCATGAGCCTGGTCATCAAGGGTCTGATCTGCATGCACTCGGCTCGTCACGATCTGCACGGTCAGGAGGCTGGTCATCCAGCACTTGATCTTCCCTTCCTTATTAGAGGCACAATCTGAGACGGTATACTTTACCACGTTGTGTGTCCTCTGGTACTTGATGTTGTCCCACCTTGTTGTGTAACATCTTGCTGTACCATCTTGGTGTATCATCTTGTTGTGGCATCTGTTGGTCCCAACAGATTGCTGATATCGCTTCCACCTGTCTTCAGTGTGATAGTCCATTCTCTGTCTCCACTGTGTGTGTGTTTCCACCTGCTATAAATGGGAGCGATCTCCCTGGATCGGTACCATTTTCCTTCTTGACCTCGGTCGTTCCACTTCCCTCCTTCTGTCTTGTTCTGTCTTGTTCCTTCGCCTTGCTTCAATCCATGTTCTCGTGTACACTTCGACTGGTTGGATACCTCTGTGACAATCGCCTTGTCCACACACATTACACTGTACTGGACATATACCTTTAATAGGTTATGGGCCTCGGTTGTGTACTCTTCCAACCTCTCTTTCGTTAC